TTCTTTAGGTTTGGAAATAGAAAATAGTCGCAGGGGGCTAAATCTGGAGAATATGCTGAATGGGGTAGCAGTTCGTATCCCAATTCGTGGATTGTGGCCAGTAATGCTTAATCAGCACACGAAATTCACTTTTTTCATTTTCGTAAAAATTCACGAGGTTGTCTGCTTTGAACGGCTATCAAACACCAACTGAACGACGTACCTTGCTCAAAATTAAAAAGTTACCCACTGGTAGATTACAGCTGACGGCAGCAATGTTGCATTTGGAGTAACTGCGCAGGAGATTCAAAAATTCACTGACTTATCAAACCGCCCTCGTATTTTGTGCTATTTTTAGAACAAACGCTTCAATCACAGCTATATTAATGTACTTAATAAATTTTATTGACATTTTTAAATTTAAAAATTTTATTTATAGGGAAATTTTTACTGCTTAAACACCTTTCTATTTGAAATAGATTTTATGCTCTATACATAGAAAAAATAATGTAAATTGCAATTTCATTTGTCAAAACTCATTACGCTTATCTGTTTAAATAAAAATTAAAAAAGTTAAAATAAATATATAAATATTTTTTATTATCCTTAAAATCCTGTTAATGTCAAGCAGCTGTCGCAGTGGCTTACTAGCCTTTTAAATTTGATTTTTTATTTCATTAATAATTTTTAAAATTATACTAAGAAAAATTTTAACAACAAATCTGGTTTTTTCTTCTTCTGTTTCTACTTCTCTCTCTCTGCTCACTCTAAACACTGTTCATTATTTGATATCATTTTCATAAATTTTACAGAATTTAGCTTGGAAAAAGCTTCCATTGAGATATTTGGTGCTCGTATGGCCAACTTTATCAATACGATTTGTATGTAAACGAGTTTTTCCAGTATTTTGCGCCTGCGCACGCCTAGTATTTACGTTTTAACCATTTACTTTTAGTTAAACTGTAGATTTTCCCAGCTCAACTAGCTCTTATAGTCTAATCTTATTATTTTTATTGCTTAGCTAAAATTATTTTGTAATAAGAAAAACAATATTTACAAAGAAAAAAAAATACTTTTAATCCATTATCAATATATCGAAAAGCAAGCGTTACACCCACTTTGAATATTATAGAATGTTTATAATCCATTTCATCCATATCCATCTCTAATAAATCCATCATTTAATTTTTTAAATTTTTTATTTGAAATGAATATCTGAGTTAATTGCTCCACATATGAATTGGTTGGCTATACATAATAAATTATCTTCAACTAATTTAGCATGTTTTCATTTGACATACATACTTCTTAATATAGACTAACTATTATTATAGTTGCGTGCAGGTCGTACCATCATTGCCGCCTGCCGTTTAACCACCGCCTTAGTAAAGTAGTTGATTGTTCGTTGCTGGTTGTTGGTTGTTGGTTGCTGGTTGCTCGTTGTTTGGTACTTTAAGTATTGCCATTTTGGCTTTTGAAGTGTTTTCTTTTATATTTTGTAAACCAGTTTATCTGAACTGAACTGTTTTGTTTTTTCATATATAAGTTGCTCTATCAAATTGGTAGGTTGTTGTATGTTGATATAACGCGCAGATGTTGTGTCGTCCAAATTGAGGTTACAAGCCTTTATTTCTTTCTTTTAAAAACAATTTTAATTCATATTCAAATTCAGTTAAACTCATATCTTTTATAACGTTTTGTTTTGCTTTTGACTTTCTGCGAATAAAGTTAAAATAATTTTAATTATATTAAGAACAAAAATTCATTTTATGAGTCATAATTATTAATATAACTAGTTTTTGAAATGTCAATGTGATATAAAACTAATTTTAATTTAGGCCAAGAAAGAGTTCTATTCATAAATTAACATTTCAAAATAAATATTGCAAAAATTTGTTTGTGATTTAAAGAAATTAAAAAACTACTGTTAAACAGCATAAAATTAGTGCTGTTAAGTAGCAACTTTGTGCTAAAAAAGTACACTTAAAATATAGATCAAATATTAATTATTGTATATATTGGAGACATATTTAAATATTATAATGAAAATACAAAATGTAATTGATCTATATTATTTAAATGTTAATATTAGGATTTGTTAGCAATAGTTCAATTTAAGTGTGTGATGTGATCATTAGTCATTTCTGAAAATGATTATTAAATTTGTTATTCAAATAATATTACTTTGATCTTAAACTATATATGTAATATTTCTAAAATAATTATGTTCGCCAAATCTCTATATAAAAGGAAAAATTGCAAATTGATATATTCTTATTGGTTTTTTAACTAACCATGCTCCTGTTAACAACCATTATTCAAATATGGAACTAAAGAACATCGATAGCTGCAGTTTCTGTTAAATTTAGAATTAAACTGCTGCTCAGTTTCGATACCAAGAAAGAGGATTCTGGTACCTCCATACGACAATTGCAGATTCTGTAAAAATCAGAGAGTAATTTCTGCCGAATTTGTCATTTTTTACTCTTTAATATCCAGGAAACAAGTCTAGTAACTAAATACGGTTTTCGGAATCCTGAATCAGATGTATATAGTATCTTAAACCACGAGATATTACGTTTGTCAATTATTCCATTTAATGTAAGAAATTATTTCTGTGAATATTACAATAGATCTTTAGCTAGGAATTTTTTCAAGGCATTTAATAGTAACTAGTGAATTAATGTTACTTATATATCGTTCGAGATATTTAAAGCTATACTTTAATATGACATCTTTTATAAAAGAACATTTAAATGTTTATGGATGGATGCCGGAATCGCACTAATGTCAAAAAGGCAACGGTCCTGGGTGTTCTGTTTTAATCTATCATTGCACTTGTAACTTTATTGATTTAAGTTCTCACAAGAAGAATAGCCTCAGTACTGTATTGAAAGACGTTTTTTTTTTTTAAATGACAAGTTCTGTTATTTTTTTAAATGGTTCAGAATTATTTGCAATACTTTACCTAACAAATTCCATGCTTTCAACCAATGGTCGAGAAAGTGGTCTACCAACGTTTGCTAGTTGTTGCCATATAATAAAATAGTATAAGTTATATTGGGTAATATTGAAAAGTACGTTTGGTACATTTTTAAACAAAAATTTACTTAATCGAAATACAATTTCAATTAAATATATATATAGGCTATTATTATTTGAAGACTCTAACCATTTTTAGATGACTTCGGTGTAGAGATGCTGTAACTTGACCCAGTGACTTTCAGCTGCTATTCGCTTGTAAAATGTTTAAGTTAAAAATTTTTTGCAGGGATCGAAACAAATGATTGTCAGACAATGCAAGGTCTGGGCTATATAGTGTACACATCAAAACTTCCGACCAAAATTTAAACAATTTGTTAATAGTCATCAAAGATATCTGGTCGCTTTTATTTAATTATTTTATTCAAGCGGTCGAATTGTGAGCACTTATAGATCAAATTAACCGTGGACTTAAATTAAGAATAGACCAGCTCATTATAAACAATTCCTCCCCAAGTTCCCTTTGTTTGCCGTCAATCTAAGCTTTGAAGTAGTTTATGGAGGGTCACCAGCCTTCGAACATGATCGCAACAAATTACACAATTGTCTTGAGATAAAATGTAGACTGAAATGTCACGAACATTTATTCGTTTGATATAATCGGATTATTGTTGCTAGATATATGTGTACCAATACGTGTTTTAAACTACCGCAGGTAGTTTTCAATATCATCTCTATATGAAGTTTTATATATGTAATTGTAACATTAGTATATGGCTTGACCCAAATCCGTAACGATTTTAGATTGGAGTTCTTAAACACGTATTTTGTGTAGCATGATAATTGATAAAGTTAAATTTCGTCTATTAGCTAGAAAACCTTTGTAATTTTTTATTTCTTGAAATCATGGGGAGAGGGTTAGGTTTTTCACAATCAGCCGAGCGTATTGATAAACGCAAGTATTTTGATGATTTCTTTGTTGAATTTGTTGTTGAGGTGTGAGTTGAATAATATCATGTCAAAATCTTTAAACCTGGATCTGGTTAGTGACAGAATAGATATAGATAGATATATCTCTGAGCTCTAACGAACACTATCTACAGTAGTTCATATATGACTGGTCCAGTTTGGTTACATGTTGTCCTATAGTTCACTATCTTGAGAGTTGATATTATTTTAGTTAGTTTTATCTTATTTTTGTGTAATAGTGTCATCTCTATACAATTATTGATAAACATAAAAACAATTCAATTTTATTTTATAACAATTTAATTTGATTGATCTCAAATATAATCATATAAAAGAACATTTTCCTATTCAAAAGAGATTAACACAATTTTGTTGACTTACCCTATATATTCATACGAGTACAATACATACAAATAGCAATCGAGATACTTAATATATTACATGAAGAACTAACAAAATGTAAAGCATATTTTTTGGTGTTGGATTATAATTAACATTGTTTGAATTTGTTCGTTCCATTGTCTTTAGATTCTCTACGAAATTAAGCCCCAACTGCATTCTCCATACTTCACTTAACCAACCGCTACAAACACAAAAAAAAAGCTCAAACAAACTGCTACAACACCCCACCACGATGGGCTTTAACCTGTACAATAGCTAACAGGTTTTTTTTTTAAATTGTTTTTTTATTTTTCTTGATTTTTATAAACAAAATCAGTGGCTTTGAATTATTTGTTTTTGTTTTGGCTCTCTTGTTTTGTTTTAGTGATAATTTTTAATTTGATTTTCGTGCTCATTAAAAATTTAAACTTGGATTTGGTGCTGCGACCAAGCCTACAACACCACTGACTTTTGGAATAACAAAGTGTAGTGGAGTGGAGTGGAGTACGGTGTGGCGTGGAGTGGAGTACGGTGTGGCGTGGAGTGAAGTGCATAAAAACACGGTTTTTTTTCTTCTTACATCATCTGTTGTGTTGTGGTCCGATCGCGGCCGATGATACATAGTTTCAAGCATTTTAACTGTTTTGATAAAGATTATGAATTTAATTAAGTTTTATTTACACTCAAAATGAAGCTGGCAAAGAATGAGTGAAAATAAATGTTCCTCCTTCTCTCGTTAATTTTTTTTTTTTTGAATTAAATTTTTTTCTTTTTGTTGTTGCTTGCTAGGTTCACTTGACTTGACTTGGGTTGGCTTGGTTTGGTTGTTGATCGCTGATCGCTGGTCTGCGTGTCAGGCGGTGAGCAAGAGTTTGTTATTGTTTATCTTTTGGATAGTTTAGACAATTATTTCTTGATCGTTTCGGCGCGCATAAACATAATTTAAAATACTTTGTGGAAAAGTTGTTTAAATTTCTTATTAATTTTAATTTTTTTTTTTTTTAAACTTTGTTTATTTACATTTTGCTGTTTTTATTTGTGTTCCGCATAGTAAGTCGTTCGTGGTTGATTTTCATTAACGAACTCTTGCATGTCATGCCAAACTGTGTGCTAGCGTTACTATTAACTAAACATTCATTCATATTAACTTACATATATAAACTATATACTACATACTATATACTATATGCATAAACTATATCCAACCAGCTGTGTGGTAGTCACTTACTTACTGGACAGTAACTAAACAATAATGTGCGTTAGCAGTCGGGGAGTAGTTGGCCAAAGAGCACAACTCCATTGCAATTTTGTTCATCCAGTGTGTCATATATCGTTTGTGTGTGGTAATGTGGTAATCGCAACATTGAAAAGTTAATATATTTAAACAATGAAAATGAATATATAAAATATTCAACTATTGCGGAAAAATTTTATAAAATTATTTTTATACATAAACATACATATACATTTATGGCGTAAAGTGTAACTTAATAACAATTACGCGGCGATTTTGTCTGAATTTGGCCAGTTTGTAGCTTAAATTTTTCGT